CAAAACTTTTAGGGCAGAGTAAAGGTTTGGCCATAGGACTGGAAATTTTACAAAACCAAGTTTTGGCAAGTCTTGGAGAGAAATTAACTTCCCAGTTTTGTTTTCCCTGTAGGCTAGTATTTCTGCCTACTTCCATAATGCTTTTTTATTTTTATTTTTTCTTTTTCCAGGACTTTTCTTCCTTGGCATTTCTTTTGTTATGTTTTCAAATTCTGCTGGCTACGTATTCTCAATTTTCCTATAGACAGAACCAAAAGCACATAGAATTACAGAAATTTAAGCAATCTTAGGACTAATTAAAATATCTTCTAGTACTTCAATCTGTGTGGAACGTTTTGATCAAATGATTTTCTAGATAGAGATCTTGAGACTCAAGATTAGGATGCTTCTTTTTGGCCATAGGCAAGGTAGAAACGAGATTTGAACTCATTTTAAAGCCCAATACTCTTTTTTATTCCATTGGCAGGTTTTTGTTGTTGTTGTTGTGGTTGTTTTTTGAGACAGAGTTTTGCTCCTGTTGCCAGACTGGAGTGCAATAGCACAATCTTGGTTCACCGCAACCTTCGCCTTCTGGGTTCAAGTGATTCTCCAGCCTTAGTCTCCTGAGTATCTGGGATCACAAGCATGAACCACCATGCCCGGATAATTTTGTATTTGTGGTAGGTTTCTTCATGTTGGTCAGGCTGGTCTCGAACTCCTGACCTCAGGTGATCTGCCTGCCTTCGCCTCCCAAACTGCTGGGATTACAGGTGTGAGCCACCACACCTGGCCTGGCATGTGTTTTAATAATACAAAGGGGGAGTGGGTCTGGTGCACCCAGTGGATAGAATGAGAAGGGAATTAGCTTGTGAACCCAATGGAAATGGCTAAGAATGGAATGAGCAGGGGAAGGTCAAGTTTGAAGAGAAACGACACTGAATACGGATTATTCAATAAGAGATTAGAATATTGGGGTTTATGACAAGTCTAATAAATTATAAAGATGAAGGACACAAGATATTGGGAATTTTCTACAATGGCACATTAAAATAGAGGGTTCAAGGAATTCTAAACAGATTGCTGTGCTCTTTTTAAGTCAAGAACTGACAAACTTAAGATTTTTGCTGTAAGATGCTAAAACATTTGGAGACACTGGGAGGAGTGTACAGCAGACAGAAATGTGGTATCATCTAATTCCATCCTCACTTACAGAGAGGTGGCTTAGAGCCCCTTGAGTACTGATGGGCTAGAGATTGCTGAACTACATAGATCTGTGGCCCAGGGCAGGTGTCTCCTCACCTCTTGCCTCTTTTCCCAATTCACTGGTGTCCTTCGCATAGCCATGCAGACTGGGTCAGCGGCATCATTGGCTGTCAAATCAGTCTTGAAGTTCAGCTGGGTAGTTGGAGGTGTATCTGTGCTGATAGGTAGTAGAGAGTCCAGTTAGGTTGTTATTCAGGAGCAGGGATACAGACTGCTCCCACTCCTGGTCATTTAAGGCCATCCTTTCAGGAATCTGTGCTTTCATAGACTGAAGATTTGAAGATTAATGGAAACTGCCATGGAGCCCTGCATAGGTGGAATCTGGAAGTGAAAACCCATAGGAATTAAGATATTTAGGTAGTATTTAGGGAAACAGAGGTACAACTGCCAAGACTGTTTTTCCAGCAGTCTCTCTCATTGGATATCTGAGTGCCTATGAAGGTTTTTAAGGGCTTACTAGTTTATGTAGACCTGAAAAAGGTAGGACCTATAGAGTGAAAATAATTGGATTTTTATAATTGTTAATGTTTTAATCCTTCTGGGAAGGGTATCCTCAATAAGAAAATACAACTTCGTTATTTTTGTACATTTTGTACTTTTAGCTCTCACACATTTGAAACACAGCAGGGGATTCTCTGCACTCTTTTAGGACAAAGGAAAGCATTGGCACCTTCTTAAGTGGTTTTTATGCTGAAGAATCAAGACTGCCATTTTGAAGTGACACAGATTAGTCTTTTAACCAGAGATAGATAATGGACAAGAGACAATGGATCTTTCTACCTTGTTTTAGGTCATAATGTTCCTTCCAGTTTAGGTGACAAAAGT